AGGTTTAGAGTTACAGTTGCTTCACCTCTTTGAACAGACACCTCGTGAGGCTTTTAGATCTGGGCTGGATTTTTCAGGAACCACCCCCGAAAACCTCCACTTTTAGCTTAAGACTAGAAACAAACATCTGAATGTTACCTGGCAGCAAATGTCTTAGAATAGTCTTTTTTGCAATCTGTCTCTTGATGTCCTGAAATAGACATCTTGACAACAAAAAGAATAAAAGGAAAGGGAAAGGTTGACCCCAAGAAATAAAGTAGTCCTAATTTTGGTAGACCCAAATATAGTAAATTTAATCTCATTTATTTGAGAGAAAAGAAATTCTGTCCTCTTTTTTTATTTAAACTGTTTACACCATTCCTTCCCCCCATTCTTTATCTTTGTTTTATTGACAATTTTTTTTTTTACATCTTTTATGTTTTGTTTTTTGTTTGAGACAGTCTTGATATGTAGCCCAAGGTGGCCTTGAACTCACAGTACTCCTCTTGCCTGGGCCTAGGAATACTAAGATGACAAGCGTAAACCAACACATGCAGCTTGTTGTAATAATTATACACTTCCTAGAGATAGCTCTTTTCTGTTAATCTTCTTAGGTTGTGTTTAATAGACCTGTTGCATTCAGATCATCAGTTAATTTTTTAAGGTGAGTCTTGCTACATGAACAGTTTTGTTCATTCCTTTTTGAGTTATCTCAGGCTGGCAAGATAACTCAGCGGTCTCCTTCAGTTTCCTAGGCTGGCCTTGCACTCATGATCCTCCTGCCTCAGCCTCCTGAGTTGCAGGGATTATAGGCATGTGTTACTGCACCCAGCTGTAGAACAAGTCTCAATGGTCAGTTTTAAAGCTAAGACTATGGCTAATGATTAAAGTCATTTTCTGTTACTTTAAAACCCTATGACACTTGTTTTGAAATTCTTTATCTTTTTAATGTGTTTGGTACAGGGACCGACTATGCAGCTCGGACTCACAGTGATCCTCCTGTTTTCAGCCTCCCCAGCACTGGGGATTACAGGTGTTTGCCACCATGCCTGAACTCCATGGCCAGCTCAGCATGCCTCAGAAGTGGGGCTTGCGTGGTGGCATGTGGTGGCAGGGTATTTTATTCTGTTTAGATTTTTTTTTTTTTTATTATTCAGGCCAGTGAGATAGCTTAGCAGTCTAGTGGTACCTGCCTAGGCAAACTTAGGCATCACATT